GTGCATCAAGGTCCTATTATGTTTAATGTATGTACCAAATTTAAACAAAATCTGTCCATGCATAACTGAGATCCGGGTCCGGAATGGTGAAAATGTGCGATTTTGATGCATTTTCGGCCTTAAAATGGCCGCTATTCGGCTATCGCTAATCGGATCATGAAAAAAATGCATGTGCATATGTCCCATATAATGTGTGATGTATGAGTGAAGTTTGAACTTAATCGGTCCATGCATGTTCGAGATACAGGTGATCACGGACGCACGGATGCACGGACGCACGAACGCACGGACGCACACAGGGCAAACCATAAGTCCCCGTTTTCGGACTACGTCCGAACGGGGACTAATAATGTATGAACGCAATGCGGAAGTGATTTGCCGATGTTTGCGATATTTTGGCTTTGATTTTGGTGGGAAAAACGGCATGATTTTTTTTTCAAATCAAGAAATTAGTTATTTTTGGAAAGTAAACTGAGCATTTAAAGAATAATTTAACACTGTTTACTGTGACAACAGCGCAATTGAAACAGAACATTTTCGCGTTGTTTTAATTCCGTTTTTATGGACTTACTGCGAAATTAAAAACCACGCTGATATTTTCTACAGTAGACTAAAAAGACATGTTTCAAGCGATTATAGACCGATTTCTTAAAAATTGTTAGAAACAAAACCAATTTTTTTTACATAAAAGCCATTCGTACAGTAACAGCGAGGGACTTCCGCGATCGCGTCCATCGCTACGAACCGGTAACCGGTAGTCGATCCGCCGGCGCCCAATTCACGATCATTACGTGCCAAAATTTCAACTTTGTCTGGCGCTTAATTGAGGTGTAAAATACAAAGTTTGTGTGGCACTGGCGCCTAATTGAAGGTGGCGCTTAACTGAAGACAAATACGGTATTTGACATTAAACGAAATTGTGCCTCTGAAATCACTCGGATTTGACACTTACCGTGTTCAATGATTTCCACCAAGTTTCTCAAATGTGGCAGGATAGCACAGCCCATGAGAATAGCAATCTGTTGTACAATTTTAATACCAGTATGTCTGGCTTGCCACGACTTTTTACTTCTACACACAGCTTTCAAGAAAGGCAGCAGAGATGGAATACCCAGGGCAGAGGCTACTACAGCGAAGGCACGGGCAGTTGTGTTACGTACATACTCATCCAAGTTGTCAATATCAGGTCGCATGGTTGAAATCATAGTAGCCAGACCAGCAGCTTTGGCCAAGTTGGAGATAATTTCACGACCCTCAACACGAGCGTAGTAATCTTCATCAATCAATAGGGGTTCAATGACAACAAGAATCTGGAAAATAACACATTTAACATTAGTTGTACGTAAAGTCTGATTAACATAAATTGACAGTACACAAAGTGTCTACATCATTAGAGTCTTAGAATGTCCAAAAAATTAAATATATTGTGTTTACAGAGGGTTTTCCATTTATTTGCACTTTTATTGGAGATGTGCTTCTCATGAAGCAATAACAATATCAATGAAATAAAGTATGCCAATCATGATTGGTTAGTGCTACTTGACAAAACACAGAACCAAATATAATGTAAAATATAAATGCAACCAAATATACTCAAATTCACATCATTCAACGCTGTCAAGGAAAGTATTGTGCCTAACTCTTTACAAAGACTCTCAACTGAGATTAATGCGTAGCCTTACCTTGTGGACATATGGCCTAACCAAATCATCCAATTTATAAAGAATTCTGTCAATAACTTTCACCAACAAGTGACGCTCCTGATCTTCCAGTGTAGGAGACATGAGAAGAGGCAAAATTTGATTGAATAGAGGACCAGCCCCAAATTCACGGGCTTTGTCTGTAATTTGTCGCAGGGCAGCTTTTCTCATTGGTGGAGTTCCATTCTTTATCTTCAAAAGCAATTTCATGATGCGGCGCTCTTTAAGTTCTTCTGGATTGAGAGTGCTTTCATCAACATCAACCTTGGGTGAGAAAAACAAATAGACGAATATTAGTGCATGAATGCTGATAGCAAAGTATACACAAGATTTCAGATAGAAAGACAATATTTGTGCATAAATGATGTGACTTACCAGTAGTTTGTCAAAATACTGGGCATCGTCTGGTTTTAGAAACGGTAGATTCCCAGGGGGCTGTTCCAAACCATGATTGGTTGACCTATCCTCAACTTGCATATGAAATCCACTCATTCCTCCAAGTGGAGTGGGAGTTGCGGTTAGTTTACGTGCCGGAGTACGGATTGGAACATAACCAGCTGGTGGTTGTAATACTTTGTATCCTTCTGGAAATAATGAGTCTAATTCTTCATCCGTCCACGGCCTGTTTCTGTCATCTATTTCTTTCTCCCATCGATAGGCCTGCATCTGTTCTGGCGTCATCTGCATCAAGTGGCCTGAAAGAACAATTATGGGGAATACGGTAAATAATAAAGAACATAGAGAACATTTTAAACTTCAATGGTTGTGATGACCAAGAAAAAATAACCAACACTATTACATTTAATTAAGTACTAAAAGAATAGCTAGATAGAACAGATTTTAAAATCATTAAGAGAATATTCGTACAAAGTGCATCTACCTGGGGTTGGAGTTGCCATCGCCATAGCCTTCTGTCCAGTGGGTGTTATACCTTGCCCCAACACTGGTGTGGCACCACCCATCTGATTTGCTGGAGTCTCATCCCAACGTGACCTTCGACGACTTGATGCACCTGGTGTTGGGGTTTCTGATATTCCATCATCTCCTCTATCGGTACGTGGTGTTTCAGCCCATCCACTGCCATGGCCAGGCGTTTCTGTAAGTTACAGAAGGAAAAGATATCAATTTACAAAACACTAGGCTAGAAGAAAAATACAATGCAGCAATGCAATAATTGTGATATCATTACACTGTATGCAGCTCCATAGTGAATCAGAACTTCTGTATATGGTACACATTGAAATATGTACCAGTAATGTAGACATGTAGATAATATAATGTATAATGACACAAACCTCTCTCAGTCCTTGGTGTCTCATCCCAACGATTTCTTCTTGCACTAGGAGTAGCACCACGACCAGGCGTAGCATGACCAGGAGTGGCATGACCAGGTGTACTGGCATGTCCTGGCGTGCTTGCATGTCCAGGAGTGGCATCCCATACGCGTGTACTGGCACCGGGAGTTGCACCAGGTGTTTCACCTCCTTTTTGATGACCTGGAGTTTCATCCCAGCGAGTATGCGATGGAGTTCCAGCCTGACAAGAAAACCAAGGAAACATTAAAATATAGAGTAAATGTGAAATGCAAGATAGTTATTATTTTTAATAGTTATATTTGCATCATTTTAATTTTGCACAATGAATAGAACTTAACTTACTTCTGCTTGATCCCAACTGGATGCCTTCTTTTTAGGAGTCGCACCTGGCGTTTCATCTCCACCACCAGCTTGATCCCAACGTCGTCTTTTGGCAGGTTTAGAAACAGGCTGTTCAGCTCCATTAACAGCATGTAAATCTCCAGCCTTGGCCTTCTCATGCATCCTAGATCTCACATCATGCTACAAATCGAACAAACAGAATCAATCAGTACTGATCTACTGTAAATATTTAACCACTTAATTCTCGAATGTTAAACTGCAATTTGGCAGCAATGTTACAATAATACAATTTTGATAAATAGTTCTGTTGTCCACCAATTATTATGAAAGTGAGATTCTCATTATTTTTTTATTCAGGAGAACATACATTTGAAAGTATGTCAGTCAAAATCTTTCCAATTTCTGTGAAATAATTTTATTACGTTGTTTTTCTGACATGGAAACTCAGCATTTGTTGTTAAATGAAAGTAGCACTTGTACATTTCTACATTCACATGTAGATTTCTGAAACTGATAACTGAAATTTTCTGAATAGTTTAAAATGATTATGAAATTGCACTTAATGAATTAAAGTGAACACTCTTACCTGATCTTTTGACAGTGCTTGATCAGACATAATCTCAGCATACGTCCGTGACTTTGGATCAGGGGTCTTGCCACCTGTACAAAGATACAGAAAGAGTCACAAAAAAGAAAAGAAAGAAGATTTATTAGTAAATTATGTCATAACAAGCACCCACCCAGCTCAGACAATGTTGCCAAAGGGAATACAATCAGACGGCCCAATTTTAGTCATTCAGTTTACTCATGACTCTTAGAGGCCACATAGCAAGGTGGACAGACATGCCCAATTTTTATGCATTTTATGATTAATGCGAAGACAGATTTGACATTGTGATTAACAGGAGGAAGCAGCTAACTATTTCATAGCCCTACCACTTTGCTTTGTGGCAACGTAAGACATAAAACAATTTCACTATCTGAGCAGATCGATATCACTGAATGATCAAACTGTTAGGTTCTACAACAGATCAGATTGGTGGGCATGTAGACAGTTCAAAAGCCAATTGGGAGGGCAATCACGGTAGTAAATTGTCAGTCAATACACGCCCAAACCTGATCCAGAAGTTTACACAACACAGCTTTAGAGATTCCATTCAAATCAGAGAAAATATGAAAAAGGAGAACTGGTCTGATGACAAGCATTTCCTGGCCCAGCTGATGCGGATACGTACTGTTCTTCACCTCAGTTGATGTAACTTGGTTGGTTTAACACTCGAATATCTGCAAGAGGCATTCCCTAAAATTAACTTTCAATCCTGTTAGTGTATTTGGATTCAAACATTGGAAAAAAAAAACTTTTTACGAAAATGCACACTCTCCAGAAATTGTAGACTACTAGGCTGAATCATAAATTTGTTTTATCAGGATCCCACACATCTATCTGTGATTTGACGAAACTGCCTTGGCATGCACAGTGTCACGCCCATAATATAACAACTATTATATATCAGTATGCACATCTTCATATAATAATCACAGAAAAAATAAAATTCACTATATATTTTGGTTGACATCAATATGAAAATGTACTTCCGTTGTATCATATTTTAAATATTAACCTATTTCACTCAAAGACCTGCTGACCCAGAGTAGTTGTCATGTGATAAGACAATGCTGTTTTGGGAGAGAAATCAAGGAAGCAGTATTAGTATTGGTTTTTTTATTCACTTTCTATACAATATTTCTTTACAATAATTTAAAAAATAAACAGTGCATAAATGTCTGATATACCAAAAGGACCATCCTGACTGATAGCAAGCAATTCTCAGATGATAGGTTTGGTCTCTTAAGGTAAAGTTGGGTATGTCAATACTATAATGTATATGTATGTATATGCGAGATGTTTTCCTAAACATGGCTCCATTTTCAGCTATTCTATAAAAATTGATAAATGGACAGGGACAATTCAGCGTGCATTATATGTCCTTACCTCTTGGCTTTGGGGCAATTTGATTCTGATCATGAAAACACTTATTTATGTATGTATGAATCTCACTAAGTAACAAGTGTGCAACACACATAATGCAGGTGTAACAAATACTACAAGTAATAACAAGTCCTTGCCAAACATTTCAGAATTTTAACATGAGCTGCCTCCTCAATGTGAGCATCATAATAACACATCAAAAAATCTAATAACATGTGAGTGCATCAAGTGCAATAAAGAACTAATCTCTGCTTACCGTCTCTAAATGGATCATGTCGCTCAGGTGATATGATCATCTTTCGTCTGCGTGCCCGGTATTCATCTTCCCTGTCTGCAATTTTAGGAATTCTGTGCTCAGCAAAAGGGTCATAGTCCTGGTAAAAGACAAGAAACTCCATGTAATTCTGTACAGAAGTGCATTCTATAAGTAACTTGTACCGAGAAAAATGTACTTTGCCTTACATAATAGCTTTCATGACACTGGGCCAAGGGGGTGAAATTTGATATACAGTTAGAATGTATTTTGGTCAGCACACTTGTTCTCACCTCGAATTTATAGCAAAATTATATCCATGTAACAAAACTGAGCTCTCTCACACGAAAAAACTTACCACTGCACTACGTTGTATATCGTTGAGAACTGATGCTGGGGCTGTGTAGTTCGCTCTTTTGCCCATCAATGTTCCGGCGGGAACTTCCTCATCATCATCCTAATAACGCAAGAAAATGCAAGTTGAACTACTAAAGTATTGATAAGAATCATCATGGGGATCATTTACTGACAACAATGTACTTCTCTTTGAATCAGAAATTCATGTAGTCAAACCTGTCTTAGTGACCACCTCTATATAGGAATCACCACCGACTATAGTGATAAATTGTGGGTAGTACTAAGGCATAACATGTGAGCAACCTGTGTATAAAAGACCACCTGCCTATAGTGACCACTTTTGGGCAGTACTAAGGCATAACATACAAGCAACCTGTGTATAAAGACCACCTGTTGTATGTGAGCACTCTTTCAGCAATATTTTTGCAAGTTAGCCTTTGTTTAAGAGACCAAAATAATAATTTTTAATTCTGTTATATAATTTTTTTTTTAATATCCTCAAGTAAAACTTATTTGATTTTGATTAACTCGAATAAATGTGTTTTAAGCACAATAGAACCAGCTCATTATTGTTGGAGCAAATGTTATGCCAAATTGAGTTGGCGACTCATGAAATAATAAATAAACCACCATACAAAGACCACCTGCCTGTAAATACCATTTTAATAAAGTCCCTTGGGTAATCGGTATACACAGGTTTTACTGTATATGTAATACTCCCAACTGTAATAAACTTTTCATGCACTAGATTATTTGTACTTTGGTACAGTGTTCTCCCCACATAGAACAAAGCATGGCGGTACCGCCATGCTTGGCGACCCGGCCGCCACGCTTGGGCTCGGACCGCCATGCTTACAACTTCACCGCCATGCTAATTGGATGCATTGTTTACATCCT